TGGGGCCAGGGCCGGCCTGTGAGGTGGGCAGGCGAGCAGCAGGGAAGACCATCTCTGCAAGTGCAGCATAGCCTTGGCCTAGGATAGCAGGAGTGCGTGGCCAAAGCTGTGAGCAGGGGCACAGGTGGTGGCAGACAGTAGAGGCGCCCCATGGGGAACATACTGACCTGTTGTGTGCGCCCCAGCGACCCTGAGTTTGACCAGAAACAGGGGTCCATGTGTCCCTCTGAATCTGAGATCTATGAGGCAGAAGCTGGGGACAGGATGGCAGGAGCTGGGAACAGAATGGCAGGAGCTGGGGACAGGATGGCAGGAGCTGGGGCCGGGATGGAAGGGGCACCCATGGCTGCTGCTGTGCAGCCTGCTGAGGTGACTGTCGAAGTTGGTGAGGACCTCCACATGCACCACATCCATGACCGGGAGATGCCTGAAGGTAAGGAGGTGACGGATGCCATCTGCCTTCTGCTTGCCTCTGGCTGCTGCTGTCCCCAAGGTCCCCTGGGAGGCATCGCCCACTTCGAGCTCCTTTCTGTCTGTAGCCAGCTTTCCCGGGGCTGGCCAGGAACAAGAGCTGGCTCTGCCTTGCATTCCCACCCCTTAGTCTTTCCCCACCAAGTCCAGCAGTTTCTTTTCGCCTCCCAATCACTCAGTTCTTGCTCTCTCATCTTTCTCCCAGGCTGCCATGGGACCATTTATTTATGGCTCTTCTTGTTGAATAAGCAGCAGTCGAATAAATGAGTTGATCAATTTTTACAAATGATTACATCTTTTTTTTCTTTTCTCCCTCTATACATATAGCTTTGGAGTTTAACCCTTCTGCCAATCCAGAGGCAAGCACAATATTCCAGAGGAACTCTCAGACAGATGGTGAGACAACATTGTCTGTAGCTCTATTTATTATCCTGTGGGACTTTGCTCAGGCTTCTTTGGACTATTCTCTTCCTTTTCTCAATAAAAACTCAAATATCCCAACTTTCCAGTACCCATCTTATTTTTTCTTTGTACCTATCCAGATGGTACCTAAGTGAAGGAACCAGGTAAGTGCCTAATTGTTTCCTTTGTTAAAGTAGCTAAATCTCAGGACAGTTCATATTCAGATATTCGGGGATTTCTTGTTTAAAATCAGAATGGAGGTTGCCATGGGAAAGGCTGTATGGTATTCTTAATGCGCTGCTGTAAGTCACCTTGATAGAGGCTGCTTAGTTTCTTCTAACTGTAATTTGAACACAGAAGGGGGGAAAAAAAGAGGGTGCTTAAAATAATTTTGAAAGGTGCAGACTGTCATGACCAGGGATGCAGAAAAATGGCTGTGTGTGTGGGTGGGGGGGTAGAGTTTGTCAAAGAAGTTTGCCCATGAGGCTCTGATGACTTTAAAATTCTTACTTTAACACAAAATGTGTCTCCAGATTTATTCTGGTGACTTAACAGATTTTATTTACCTCCTTGTTCTGAAAGATAGGTGAGGTTCATGGTCAAAACTTTCAAAAGACATGAAACATCAATGTAGACTTTTAATGTGTAATATAAAAATTGCAGGTTAAAATCTCTGACCTTCCCTGTAAGAGTGTTTGTTGCCATGGCTTCCCCTTTGTCTTTTTCCCTCCTGACAATAGCATCTTGTTCAAAGATAAGAAAATTGGAGTTTTGCCCAGGCATGGTGGCTCACGCCTGTAATCCCAGCACTTTAGGAGGCCGAGGCAGGTGGATCACCTGAGGTCAGGAGTTCGAGACTAGCCTGGCCAACATGGTGGAACCCCATGTCTACTAAAAAAATACAAAAATTAGCTGGGCATGGTGGCGCATGCTTGTAGTTCCAGCTACTCTTGAGACTGAGGCAGGAGAATTGCATGAACCCGGGAGGCAGAGGTTGCAGTGAGCAGAGATCACCCCAGTGCACTCCAGCCTGGGTGACAGAGCAAGACCCCGTCTCACAAAAAAAAAAAAAAAAAAGAAAGAAAGAAAAAAAAAAGAAAGAAAGAAAGAAAAAAAGAAAGAAAGTGGAGTTTTTCAGTCTCTACACTGCTGGGAGAGGCAGGGGATAGGTGGTGGTAGAAAAGAGAAAACAGTTGATTTGTCTCTAAAATTTTGCGAAGAGATGAATCTAAGTAAAAGTAATTCTGGGTAGTAATATAGTTCTTGAATAAAAACTAAAATTTTCATGGAAAACATTGCATCACAGCGAAATTAAATCCAATTGGTTTATTGGTTTCATTTAAATGCCAGAGATTTCATTACTGTAGAGGAAATGTCTTGTAGCTCTTCTATTTAAACTTTGGTTGGGCTCTTAATTTTTTAAGAAGTAGGATAATTAAGACTCATGATGAGTGTGACTTTTTAACTTGAAAGTACTATCCTCACTTTTCAAGATATTTAAGGATTGCTTTAGAATAAACAAATATGTGAATTAATTGATTATACACCTTTATACACAAAGCGTGTAAGTACTTGTGTAAACTTATCCTCTGCTTACTGATGTAAGGAAAACCTCTGAGTGATGTTACACACCAGTTAGTAGATGGGTAGTGTTGGATGAGAGCCCAAAAATGGCTCTTTATTGTCATTATTTAGGATTACAACACAGTTTATGTATGTTTCACTTGGCCCTTTCCAATATAAATAAGGCCCGTGTATGTTCTCCCTATGTATTGCTAATGAAGAAATGAAGACTTAGAGATATTACATGACTGTGGAAGATAGCTACTCAACAGAACTAAGGTTTTATGTCCTCAGAATGACATGGAAGTGACAGATGTGCTGAATTTACTTTTAAAAAATTTTTAAAACTCTAGAATACATCTTATACTTTGCCTATAAAATAGACCTGTCTTTTAAAACTTATTGCCATCTTGATTTATTTTATGCAAAGTTGATTTTACACAACTCAAAGCCAACATTTACCTCTTTTTCCTCTTCTTCTTCTTTTTTTTTTTTTTTTGAATAAAGGTGGGTGTCACTATGTTACTCATTCTGGCTTCAAATTCCTGACCTGGGTTCAAGTGATTTTCCCATCTCAGCCTTCTGAGTAGCTGGGACTACAAGCATGTGCCATCTTGCCTGGCTCTATCTTATGCCTATACATTCATTTCAATGGATAAGAATAAAAGTAAAAGTAGTGAAATAGCCTAAATGCAGCAGTTGAATAAACGAATTGATAAAGTTTAATAAATGATTACATCTTTTTTCTTTTCTCCCTCTATACATATAGCTTTGGATTTTAACCCTTCTGCCAATCCAGAGGCAACCACAATATTCCAGAGGAACTCTCAAACAGATGGTGAGACAACATTGTTTTTTCTACCAAGAGAAAGAATAAAAACTCTTGTTTGATCAGGTGTATTATAGGAAGTATTTAGAAAAACTCATATTGGTTTAAATTTTTCAACTTTTCACATATTCACTTGTCTTATTTTAACGTGATATATTTTCCTTTAGTTATCTTGTTAGTGAAAACATCTAAACTTTTTGTTTATACATTTTGCCATCTTTTTATCAACACAGTTAATTTGTCATGTGATGGAGGAGTCATGGATTTCTCTTTATTCATAATTCTTGGCCCCTTTTCCTTTGCTCCAAAGAGTACATTTTAAAGCTGAATGATAGAACTTAGGCTTCAGCTTGGTTTTCTTTTAAACAAATTACAAACATAGTTGTTTATTATCGGGAATTGAATCTGTGATTTGGGCCTCCTCTCACACAGTCCTCTGACCGCATTCATTTACCACATCCAAGTTTATGCTACTCAAAACTTTTAAGTTATTAACCCTTTCATTTGATGTAATGTCAATTTAAACATGCCCTACTTCTGCTTATTTTCCTTAAAGTTATCGTTAAATCCTCATGTATTTGCTAAAAAGCCATGCACAAGCAAGTTTTCCAGTTGACTTAAACAGCAACAATACAAGTGAGGGTTCTATAATAATATGTGAAGTAATGCAGCACAGTAAAACATGAGAATTTGTAACCTTTGTTTTTATAGTTTGAGTAGACTTTGCCCATCTTGAGTCAGTTATTTCTGATCAGAATTTGAGTTCATTTTTTACATTACTATAAAGAGATAGCTAAGGCTGGGTAATTTATAACAAAAAGAAGTTTAATCAGCTTATAGATCTTCAGGCTGTACAAACATGGCTTCAACATCTACTTCTGGAGAGGGCCTCAGCAAGCTTACAATCATGATAGAAGGCAAAGGGGAAGCAGGTTTTTCCACATGGTAAAGAGGGAGGAGAGAGGGGAAGGGGGAAGGTACCACACTCTTTTTTT